TTCCTGCTCCTCTGATGCTGCTTGGCCTGCTGTGTTCATCTAGCTCTACACCTTGTTATCTCAGATTCTCCAGCATCTGCAGTTCCTACTATCCCCAGAACATTGCCTGGGTCTCTGGATTAACAGTCCAGGGTAATGCCACTAGGACATTGCCTCCCCAGTCCTCACACATTGACATGTTAAAAGTACTTTCTAACACATCTCCTGAAATTATAGTTCTTTTGAATTAGGAAATGTCTTTTTTTTTTAAAAATGAGAAGATTTCTAAATAAAGGCGCAATGATTTAGATGGCCTGCCAGTCTGAAATGTAATGCCTGTTGCATAGTAACTTCATTTGTACACAAGTGGCTATTTTTGCATTTGTGTTCTGTTTCTTCATGGGGCAGTGGTTTTTGTTTCCATTTCCTTGACCACAGATATCCAGGTACTGCAACAGAGACTTTGATGATGAGAAGATCCTTATCCAGCATCAGAAAGCAAAACACTTCAAATGTCACATATGTCATAAAAAGTTGTACACGGGTCCAGGTCTTGCTATTCACTGCATGCAGGTATGTTGTTACTGGTTAATGTGCCAACATATTTAAGTTTAGTGGGGGTAATACAAAATTCAAAATCACATATTTGTGTAAATTTTAAATCTGCAATTACTGAATATACAGCATGAGATCATTGACTTGACTGAGTCGGGAGAAGAATCATATTGTGCATTTTGTATTTCTAGATTTTTCTGTGACGATACTTCTGAAATGTAGTCTCCTCTGTAGTAAACATGTTTGTTCGTTCCTGCACAGCAAGGGAGTTAAAGCACATGCAAAATAAATCTTTTTGTGGTTATTGTCTGAGATAACCTCCCCAGATTTTCTGATTGTGCCCTTTTCTCTGAATAGGCTGGTGAAATCTCATCTGAAAACTAGATACTTGAACTGTTGTGGGCATGTTGAGAAAGTAGCTTTTAAAAAGTTCAAAATGATATTATGTTTGGAAAGGGCCTTTCTGTCGCCACCTGGGCGAAGTGAAAGGGTGCAAAACGGAATAGGTATGTTTTGTATGGCAGACAGAGAATTTCTTTCATTATGAAGAAATGTTTACATCAAAATAGACATCCCCAGTTGACAAGCAGGCACTGTATAGAGATGTATAATTGTCTTAAATGACTTAATTCTGATGTACAGACTACTGCACTGTGTGCTGCTTTGTCGTGTTCTGAATCTCCATTTGTAAATTATTTTGAATACTTTTACTGTTATATTTTAATTTTAGAGAAATCATATTAAATGTGTAAGATAAGATTCCTGGAGACTGTGTGTTTCTCACTTCTTTAACCTAGTTATTGTTCTTGTCTGATTTATAATGAAATGTAAACTCTGAATAAGATATTTATCCTTGCGCATGAAAGTTGGTTGATATTTGCTGGCTTTGAAACATTTCACGTTCTGCGTAAGCAAAAAGTCCAGCTTGCTAGTGGCATTAATGAGGGTTATGGATCCTTAGGTAATGACAACAATAATAAATTGGATGTTTGTCTACATTTGACTATTGTGATCCTCATTTCCAATTTAAAACAATTTATTATAGGAATAGAACAGTACTGTGCTGTACTGTTCTATGTTCTATTCCTATAATAAATAGTTTTAAATTGGAAATGAGGATTACAATACTCCAATGTTGAATAGTTAACATTCTAATAGTCCCAAGACAAGTATGGTTGTGGTTGTAGTTACTCTTTTGAAAATTGGTTGTAGTATAATTCTAAACACTTTTATCCACTGCACATTTGATTGTAAATATTACATCCAACCTTTACTTTTAATTCATCTAATTTTCAAATCCCACCAAAGTATATTAACAGTTTGTCAATGAGTAAAGTGCATTCAGTAGAATATCAATTTGTTACTTGCATTCACCAAGTTCTCTGCTTGTTACCTCAACACTTGTTTAAAATTAGTTTGAAATTTTTGAGGGGGAAAAGAATGAAACATCACAATTTATGATAGAGTGGCAATCGGACCAGGCACTCAGCCTAACATAAAAAATAATGTCTGCTTCTAAATATTGCATCTATTACTTTTTTTTATTTCATAGCTTCCAAAAAATTTAAAAATACTTTAGTTGTGCGTGTCTGTGTGTGTGTGTTGTTTATCTTGATTAGTAGGACTGCTGGCCAAAAAGCCATGAGCTACTAATTTTTTCCTGTTTGAATTGATAAATTTTATAATGCCTACTGAATGTCATTATTAATGTCTACTCCTGCTGAAGTACTTTGCTGTTGTGTTTGGGATGTCAGATCTATCTCTAATCCAACAGCATGTAACTACTCTTGCAGATCTGCAGCATTTAAAATATTCTCATTTGGAAAAATCCCGGTGCTAGAATGGACGATGGAACTGTTACGTTAGGTACACTGTCCACATTGCTTTTTCTTTTAAAATACAAAATCTCATGTCTTCTGTACATTTTATTTGTTGCTGTCTTATTTTGTCAGAGGAAACTTTATCAGCTTCAAAGCAAGTTCCTTGTCAACTTATAGTGGCAGAGGTTGGAGGTTGAATATGAAGGTTGCAGTTCAGTACTGATGTTGAGTGAATCCGTAGTTATTTGAAACTGATTTAACGAGTTATACCTTTTCTGTTTGAGTAGAGGTAGTAATCTTTGCACATGTCCCTTTTAAGTTTGTTTAATCATTGCCTGGGAGAGCTAAACAAAAATGCTGTTGAAGTAAAACAGCTCTGTGCAAATTTTGTCTGCAGATTGTCCACTACAGTCTGATTGAAGTTTTGAAATAAATGATTTGGAATTTTTGCTGCACATATCTGATTCTAAACAAATTTTCGGTTGAGTTGCTGAAACAGACCCTGTTTCATTCTAGTTAATCTGATTTCTACATTCCTTATCAAACAGCATCACCAAATTCAGCAGTCAGCTGACCATTGGTTACATTTGCTGCTTGTATAGTCGTCCTTATCCACAAGGGTTCCATTCCTGAGAACTCCTGTGAATGATGAAATTTGCAAGCGCGGAGTTCAGTTGAAAGTAGGTTAGAAATAACTTAAAATGGCAGATACACAAGTTTTGCCCACAGATGTTGAATTTTGTTGTTACTTGTATTTTTGGCGCAGATCAGCAAATTTGTGATTTTGTGGATACAGCGGATATTTACTGTGATGTCTTGGGGTTTGCAGCATTAATCATCTTTGGAAGGACAGGAAACAGTAACAATTTTTTTCTGAAAGATTCATTTCAACACCGGTCCTTTTCCTGATACTGTGTCTAACCACCTGTTGTCTAATTCGCCAGCATGATGTTTTATGAGTGCTGTCAAAACCTTAGAATGACTGCCGTGACTGAGCATTTATTTACATTTGAATTAGATGGGGAAATAGAGATTCTCTTTTTGGGTAGATTTGATAGCTGTTCAAAATAATGCCTAGTTTTGGTCAAGCAAATAAGAAAGTCTAGCCACGAGGTTTGTTTCACCTAGTGAGGTTTTAGATTTTAGACCGAAAGGGAGATGGGTAAATACAAATGGAAAAAAAATCTACGATATTAATTGGATCAGTCTTTCTGGGTCTAATGGTCTCTTTTGTTGATTAAAATTATAGTTCTCATTTCTTACTCAGTCCTAGGCTAGCTCTGCAGTTTGGGTGTAACTGTTTGTTCAATTTATAGTATTTGATTCAGTACATTAAGATTATTTTGTACCCCTGGCATTCTTAATACATCGTTTCAGCTGCTTTTGAAACTTGTGAAATAATTTTTGTCTTGCATAGGTTCATAAGGAAACGATAGATGCTGTCCCAAATGCAATCCCCGGAAGAACAGATATTGAATTAGAAATCTATGGAATGGAAGGGATTCCAGAAAAGGATATGGAGGAAAGGCGACGACTGCTTGAACAAAAGACTCAAGGTGAATAGTGTCATACTCACTTTTCTATCAATTTAGATGTTGAAGTAAGTTTCTTTATCTTTTAAAACCCAGCCACTGTTTGTTTCTGCAAGTGCTTTTCCCAGGCAAGAAAATGCACTTATAGTAGTGTCAACTAAAATAAATTCTTATTCCAAGTTGCGGGGGCGGGGAACCAATACTATGCAACCAGCGAATTCAAAGGAGGAGGAGTCACTTTTGGTATGGTGTTGGGAAGTCTATTATTTCTGTGGAACTTTAGTAGTGAATGCTGCTAGCATGTTTGACCCTGTATGCTTCGTCTTGGGTTTACCTCAGCAGACCTTTCGGTAATAATTGAGAATGAGAATTCAAGTGCTTTCTTCCTTTAAATTACCACTTGAATCACTCCATGTGTATATTGGGACATTGAGGTGGCGATCGTCATGTATCACTGAGCTATTTCACTTGCCCCTGCAGACAGAGAAGCTAAAGGGGCCATTTATATTTACACTACCGCCTCTATGCCATTTGTTTGCAGCTAAACAACAATAAAACAGCTTTATTTTTGGTGCTGTCTGTTGAGGTGTAATGTTGGCAAGAATATTGGGAGGTGTGCCCCAGAACTCTGGAAGCGAGGGAAGAGATTGCTGGGCCCCATTCGGAGATATTTGTTTCATCGATAACCACGGGTGAGGTACCAGAAGACTGGAGGTTGGCTAATGTTGTGCCACTATTTAAGAAAGGTGATAAGGAAAAGCGAGGGAGCTATAGACCGGTGAGCCTGATAATGATGGTGGGCAAGTTGAAGGGAATTCTGAGGGACAGGATTTACGTGTATTTGGAAAGTCAAGCACTGATTTTGGGATAGTCAGCATGGCTTTGTGTGTGGGAAATCGTGTCTCACTAAGTTGTTTTTTTTTTGAAGAAGTAATGAAGAGGATTGTTAAAGGCAGAGCAGTGAATGTGATCTCTGTGGACTTAAGTAAGGCATTCAATAAAGTTTCCCATGGTTGACTGGCTAGTAAGGTTAGATCATACGGAATAGAGGGCGAAATAGCTTTTTTTGGATACAGACCTGGCTCGAAGGTAGAATACAGGGGTTTGTGGTAGAGGGTTGCTTTTCAGACTGGAGTGCAGTGACCATTGGTGTGCCACAAGGACAGTGCTGGATCCACTGTTTTTTTGTCATTTATACAAAATTATTTGGATGTGAACATTAGGAGGTATGGTTATTAAGTTTGCAGATAGCACTAAAATTGGAGGTGTAGTGGACAGCAAAGAAGGTTACTGCTGAGTACATTGGGATCTTGATCAGATGGGTCAGTGGGCTGAGGAGTGGCAGATGGAATTTAATTTAGATAAATGAGGTGCTGCATTTTGCAAAGGCAAATCAGGGCAGGACTTATTCACTTAATGGTAGGGTCCTGGGGAGTGTTGCTGAACAAAGATCTTGGAGTGCAGGTTCATAGTTCCTTGAAAGTGAAGTCGCAGTAGATAGGATTATGAAGAAGTGCTTTTAGTATGCTTACCTTTTATCGGTCAGTGCATTGAGTACAGGAGTTGGGAGCTTAAGTTGTGGCTGTACAGGACATTGGTTTGGCCACTTTTGGAGTATTGCTTACAATTCCGGTCTCCCTACTATAGGAAGGATTTTGTGAAACTTTAAAGGGTTCACAAAAGATTTACAAGAATGTTGCCAGCATTGGAGCTATTTGGAAAGGCTGAATAAGCTGGGGCTGTTTTCCCTGGAGCATCAGTGGCTGAGGGGTTATTTTTACAGAGGTTTATAAAATCATGAGGGGCATGGATAGGCAAAGTCTTTTCCCTGGGGTGGGGAAGCCCAAAACAAGAGGGCATGAGTTTAAGGTGAGAGAAGAAAGATATAATCAGGACCTAAGGGGCAACTTTTTCATGCAGAGGGTGGAGCATGTATGGAATGAGCTGCCAGACAAAGTGGTGGAGGCTGGTATAATTACAATTAAAAGGCATCTGGATGGGTATATGAATAGGAAGGGTTTAGAGGGACATGGGCCCAATGCTGGCAAATGGGACCAGATTAATTTAGGCTATGTGATCAGGATAGACAAGCTGGACTGAAAGGTCTCTTTCCTTGCTGTATATCTCTGTTTGACTCTAACTCCCCTAATCTTCTGCTTGGGAAGGTTTAAATGTCTGGTCTGGAAGATGATGCCTTAAATGTTCAGAGGTTCATCATTACCTGGCTTCTGCACATTGATTTGGTCCTTTTAAGACACTCCTTCAAAAAATATAATTTTTGACCAAGCTTTTGGTCACCAGTAATATCTCCTGAGGTGGCTTGGTGTAACTTTGTTTTATGCTTCTGTGAACTGCCTTATGACAATTTATTCATAACTTGTATTTTCATAGCACGTTTGCACAGTGTATTGAAAGTACTTTTTATTACCATTTGTTTATTCAAGCTGGTAAAGAAAGTAACAAATTACACTTTTTGTAGATTGGAGAGTCCAATTCAAACATGATAGTAGGTTCCGTTGAGTTGTGATCTTCTCTTAGTTCCGTTTACATCATTCATTCTGTGAGGATGGTTTCGATTGCACTAACGTTCTGTCTTGCTCAAGTGAAATGAGAAAGCTGACCCTGGTCCAAACCTTTCCACGAAGATCACTGACTAATGATCCAGAACAGAAACTCTTCCAATAGCCGGTGAGGCTGCAGTCACTCTGGCTTACTTAGTATGAATCATTCACCAACCTGATGTTGAATTATATGATGGATTGATTGGATGTCTTTCAATGTGGAATTTCACTTTTAAAAGGGTCCTACATTGACTGAATGAATAAATTCATTCTTTTAATGTGGCACAAGGCTGCACAGGCAAGGAACTCCCAAAGTTTTGCTTTTGAACTCTGTGGCATTTGCTCAGTGGGGGTGGAAGTACTGTCTTGGGTCTTTTAGTATTGAAGAGAGGCATAATGCTGGAAGTTCTTCTTGAAATGTGCTGTAGTAAAATTAAGTTTGGGCTCTTCTGTGATCTAATAGCCAACTGGCACACACTGTCCACATTGCCTGTAATGAATGGTCTCACACATTGTCTACCTTTCACCTACCCTTAATTAAATCCGGTAGTATAAAGATGTCTAGCAGAGGACAGATTAAAGCTGATTATAAATGTCATGCTAAGCTTCCTTCCGAGCTGCTTTACTATGCAAGTGTTGAAGTTTTTGTATCTTTCACTAGCGGAAAGTCAAAAAAAGAAGCAGAAAGATGATGATTCTGACGAGTTTGATGACGACGATGCAGAAGCTGGGACTTCGTACCAGCAACAGGGGATGCAGCAACAACAGAATTTTGTTTCCAGTATGAACCAGTCAAGCGTGCACCCTGTAACGGGTGCACCAGGAATTCCTCCAGGTGACGCAATCTACTTTATTCCTTCTTAGAACTCCTGATTTGCATTGCACAAGTGAGATGATTGAACTTGCTCTGCTGTATTTACAGTTGATCTCATTCTGCAAAAGGGAGCAGAAATTGCATTGTGAGTTAGAACCAAAGAATCCCTATGGTGTAGAAAGAGGCCATTTGGCCTATGAAGTCTACACCAACCCTCTGAACACCATTCAACACAGACCCAACCCCCTCACCTTATCCACATAATTCTGCATTTTAGCGTGGCCCGTCTACCTAACCTGCATGTCTTCTGGACTGTGGGAGGAATCCGGACCACCCAGCAGAAGCCCACAATTCTAGATCATTTCTGTGCTCATGTTTGGTTTGTATTCCCCAATCAGTACTTTTTGCTACTTGCTATGCTTAGGAGTTAGAAATGTCTGGGAAACATTTACCTGGGTTTCTGGAATACTTGTCTAGCAATAATATCACTAGGCCATCACCTCCCTATGCTTGTAATATTGGTGATGTGGAGATGCCTTTCTGAAAGCTTGTGTTTTCAAGTAAACCTGTTGGACTCTAACCTGTTGTTGTGTGATTTTTTTCACCTTGTAATGTGAGTCATCAGAATTCATAGACTGAACCAGAAATCAGGTATTTTTTGCTTTAAAAAGGGCCAATTACTGACCAGGAAACTGGAGCCTAAACAGTTTACCCCTAATTTCAAGGCTCCTTTTATTTTCATGAATTGTGCCTTGGAGATCATTTTTTTGTGCACTTTTTATGATTTCATTAATTTTCCACTCGTGACTAAATTTTTATTTTCTGATCAACCTATGTCAGCAAAGATATTAGGCACATTGCTCTATTGAAGTACACCAGGATTATTTGTGAATTTAGTCTTTATATGGCTGCTTCTTTTTCCAGGGATGCCACCAGTGGTCCCAGGTGTTCCTCCCATGATGCCAGGAATGCCACCAGTAATGCCAGGAATGCCTCCAGGGTTAGCGTTCTCAGTTTATTTCTTAACAATGTTGAGAATTTGCTTTTGTCATCATGATGTTGTCTATGTATGTTAATACTGTGCTATAAAAAGGGCTCGCTATCCTCTCTGTACTCCTGCTTCCTAGCACTAAGGTGGGATGGGATGCTTCTTTAAGGTGAAAGGCAGTCCAGCTTTCTAACTGCCTGATGTTTACTCAGAACTATTTATGTTTGCAAATTGTGACAAATTAGTTTCCATTTAAGAAAATTATGATCTGTTTTCTGCTTTAACTTTGCTGGTTCATGGTTTCATGTATGTTGCTTTGATGCCTTTCCAAAATGCCCATTATTTACCAGTGAGTTTTGACCCAAAGTTGTGTGAACATGATGCAGTTCCAGCTATACACGCTGATGGAAATCAGGAGCAGGAAGTCCAGCTGGCTTCCTACTGCCACTCGCCTTAACTTGGTATGCAAAGGCAGTTTTAGACCCCAACGTCTAACTCTGTATTGTTGATGCCTGTACTTTATATAAATCACTGCCTCTTATCCGTATATTCAATTTTGATTCTGAATGTGATTTCTGTTAACTCTTGTCATCACAGGATGATGCCCATGGGTGGAATGATGCCTCCAGGACCTGGAATGCCACCCATGATGCCAGGCATGCATCCTGGTGGGTATTTGAAAACGGTTGGCAGCAATTTAGGTCTGTATGCTGAGTGTCTTAGTATCAAGTTATTGAGAGCAATGCATAAATGTACTGTTATGTCCCAAAGCACTTATTTCCACATATCAGAATCTACAGATAGGTGTGATTGGACAAGTTTGGTTTCTGTGAGAGATGCTTTTTGTTCATGTTGCATTTCTATTTTGGTTATGTTTACTTAAATATTTCATTCCTGACTTGAGTGTCGGCGACCTGTAAATTTAAGTAAGATCATTATGAAAAGCAATGTTTTTTTTAAAAGAAGAATCCGTTCTTTATACCAGTTGGTGTGAAATTATAGCTTTAAGTATGAAATCCATACAACAAATTTTCCAGGTGTCTGGCAATCTTTTCTGGGGTCCGGCATTCAGTGATAGTGAGCTTGTGGCCTCTGTCTTCTACCATTTGATGTACATGCAGATCTCCACATCCACTGCTGCAGCAGTACTAATCCAGTTTGTCTAGACTGTCTAGCCACAGGACATCCAATGGTTTTTAAAAATAAGCAGTCTCTAAACTGCCTCTGTCAGGAAAAAGAATCCCATAAAGTTTTAAACTCAAGATAACAAGGTGTAGAGCTGGATGAACACAGCAGGCCAAGCAGCATCAGAGGAGCCTAGACTCTCCTTCAGAAATGGGAAGGGGATTCTGAAATAAATAGGGAGTGAGTGGGAGGCAGATAGAAGATGGATAAAGGAGAAGATAGGTGGAGAGGAGACGGGCAGGTCGAAGAGGCAGGGGTGGAGCCAGTAAAGGTGAGTGTAGGTGGGGAGTTAGGGAGGGGATAGGTCAGTCCAGGGAGGATGGAAGGTCAAGGGGGTGGGATGAGGCTAGTAGGTAGGAGATGGAGGTGGGAGGAGGGGATTGGTGGGAGGAAGGACAAGTTAGGGAGGCGGGACAAGCTAGGCTGGTTTTGGGATGCGGTTGGGGGAGGCGAGATTTTGAAGTGTATGAAGTCCACATTGGTACCATTGGGCTGCAGGGTTCCCAAGCGACATATGAGGTGTTGTTCCTGCAACCTTCGGGTCGCATCGTTGCGGCACTGCAGGAGGCCCAGGATGGACACGTCTAAGAAATGGGAGGAGGAGTTGAAATGGTTCACGATGGGGAGGTGCAGTTGTTTATTGCGAACTGAGTGTAGGTGTTCCGCAAAGCGGTCCCCGAGCCTCCGCTTGGTTTCCCCGATATAGAGGAGGCCACCTCTGGACCAGCGGATACAGTATACCACATTAGCAGATGTGCAGGTGAGCATCTGCTTGATGTGGAAGGTCTTCTTGGGGCCTGTGAGGGGGGAGGTGTAGGGGCAGGTTTAGCACTTCCTGCGGTGGCAGGGAAAAGTGCCAGGTGTGGTGGGGCTGGAGGGGAGTGTGGAGCGGACAAGTGAGTCACGGAGAGAGTGATCCCTCCGGAGAGCAGATAAGGGTGGGGAGGGAAAAATGTCTTTGGTGGGGTAGGATTGCAGATGGCGGAAGTGTCGGAGGATGATGCGTTGGATCCGGAGGTTGGTGGGATGGTACGTGAGGACAAGGGAGATTCTGTTTTGGTTGTTATTGCAGGGAGGGGGTGTGAGGGATGAGTTGCGGGAAATGCGAGAGACACAGTGGAGGGCATTCTCGACCACTGAGTGGGGGGAAGTTGCAGTCCTTGAAAAATGAGGACATCTGGGATGTCCGGGAGTGGAATGCCTCATCCTGGGAGCAGATGCGGCGGAGGTGATGGAATTGGGAATAGGGGATGGCATTTTTGCAGGAAGGTGGGTGGGAGGAGGTGTATTCTAGGTAGCTGCGGGAGTCGGTAGGCTTGAAATGGATATCGGTTTCCAGGCGGTTGCCAGAGATGGAAACGGAGAGGTCCAGGAAGGAGAGAGAGGTATCAGAGATGGTCCAGGTGAACTTAAGGTTGGGGTGGAAGGTATTAGTGAAGTGGATGAACTGTTCGAGCTCCTCGTGGGAGCACGAGGTGGTGCCGATACAGTCATCGATGTAACAGAGGAAGAGGTGGGGTTTAGGGCCAGTGTAGCTATGGAAGAGGAATTGTTCCACGTAACCTACAAAGAGACAGGCATAGCTTGGGCCCATGTGGGTACCCATGGCCACCCCCTTTGTCTGTAGGAAATGGGAGGAATTGAAAGAGAAGTTGTTAAAGGTGAGGGCAAGTTCAGCTAAGCGGATGAGGGTGTCATGGAGGGGAACTGGTCGGGCCTGCTGGACAGGAAGAAGTGGAAGGCCTTTAGGCCATCTGCATGGGGAATGCAAGTGTATAGGGACTGGATGTCCATGGTAAAGATGAGGTGTTGGGGACCAGGTAATCAGAAGTTTTGGAGGAGGTGGAGGGCGTGGGTGGTGTCACGGACGTAGGTGGGGAGTTGCTGGACCAAGGGGGAGAAAATGGGGTCGAGATAAGTAGAGATAAGTTCAGTGGGGCAGGAGCAGGCGGAGACAATGGGTCGACCACGGCAGTCAGGTTTGTGGATTTTGGGAAGGAGATAGAAACGGGCAGTGCAGGGTTGGGGAACGATGAGGTTGGAGGCTGTGGGTGGGAGGTCACCTGAAGTGATGAGGTTATGGATGTTTGGGAGATGATGTTTTGGTGGTCAGGGGTGGGGTCATGATCAAGGGGGCGGTAGGAGGAGGTGGCAGAGAGTTGGTGTCTGGCCTCGGCGATGTAGAGGTCAGTGCGCCATACTACAGCTGCGCCTCCCTTGTCCGTGGGGTTTGTGGTGAGGTTGGGATTGGAGCGGAGGGCTGCACGTTCTGTGGGGGAGAGGTTGGAGTGGGTGAGAGGGGTGGAGAGGTTGAGGCGATTGATGTCTCGACAGCAGTTGGAGATGAAGAGGTCGAGGGAGGGTAGGAGGCCTTGGGGTAGTGTCCAGGAGGAGGGGGTGTGTTGGAGGCGGGAGAAGGGGCCAGTAGAGGGAGGGTTAGGTTCACGGTTAAAGAAGTAAGTGCGGAGGCAGCGGAAAAACTGTTCAGCATCCGCCACCTCCGCCAAAAACGTCAGCTTTCCTGCTCCTCTGATGCTGCTTGGCCTGCTGTGTTCATCCAGCTCTACACTTTGTTATCTCAGATTCTCCAGCATCTGCACTTCCTACTATCCCTGAAACAAGTTTTAAACCCAGTTTGACAGAGAATGAGTATGAGTAATTAACAAACCAAATGATTCCTTCCCAACTTGGGATTTTGCTGATAAAAATGTTGTGCAACCCATCAAATGAAGTCTACGGTAATAGCAGGTTGGACTTTAACCTGGGCCTCCTGCCCCAGAGGTAGTGATGTTACCACTTTACTGTGAACCCTTGCTAATGTCCTAGTCACGACTCTTCTGTTTCATCAGTGACCTTCCCTCCATCATAAGGTTGGAAGTAGAGATAAATGATGTGTTCACTATTTGCAACTCTTCAAATAGCGATGCACTGCATACCTGTGCCAGCATATAGGAAGACCTGACCAATATTCAAGCTTGGACTAAAGTCTGTTGTAGATTTTACTTGCCAATTAAGTGCCAGGCACTGACAATCGACGCATGACACAGAACAACATTGCCCTCACTACATTACCCCCATGTAGAAATCCTGAGGGGTTGTCAGTAACCAAATTCTTATAACCACCATTTTAGGTAGTGTTGCTACAGGAACTGGTCAGGCACTGGGAATTCTGCAATGGGAATGTTGCCTGTTAACTTCACAGGCATTCCTAGCACCAGCAAGAAGTCATTAGTTTAATTGTATACTCTTCTGTATGTGGTTTGAGAAGCCCTTTATCCAGGATAAAGCAGCACTTGATTGGCACCGCATTCATTACATTAAGAATTCACTCTCTTCCCACTAATGCACAGTGGCAGTGGTATATCCCATCTATTTTTTTTTTAAATGTACATTGCAGCAATTTATGGAGTCAGTGAACTTTGACAGCACCTTCCAGCTTTCAATCATTGCTGTCTAAAAGGTCAAGGAAGGGTACCCAAGTACTTGGAACACAGCAGCCTGCAGGTTTCCCTTCAAGTCGTCCTGCTTGAGACTATATCACTATTACCTCCCTGTCATTGTGTTAAAATCATGAAACTCCCTCCTACATAGCACTGGATGTACCTAGACCCATATGGCATGTGTTAACGCAAAAAAGTAGCTCACCATTTTCTTTAGGATAATTGGGAACAGGTAATAAATGGTGGCCTTGGCAACAACACATCTCGAACAAATTTTTAATAATTTCCAACTTTTCTGTTCATAATTCTAATGAATCTTTATTGCCCCTTGCAGTAAATCTGGCATTTACTCTATAATTGACTTTTCAAAGCTACTTGGTATTTGTACACTATATAAAAGGCAAATACTGCACTTGCTGATACTGCAACTGTAGCCTTGCCAGCATCTTGTGCTAACTTAACCTTTTTGTTTTATTTGTACCTGTAAATTAAACTCTAAGCTCTTTACCTAATGTCCTTATACCTTTGCACCTATTTATCTACATGCATAGAAAGATTAGTCTTTTCAAGGGGTTTTTCTTGGGGCTAAAGGGATCAAAGGGTTTGGGGAGTAAGTGGTAACAGGGTACTGAGTAGGATGATTAGCCATGATCATGTTGAATGGCAGGAACAGGCTTAAAGGACCAAGAATTCTAAATTTCTTAAGATCTGTTCCTCAGTTGATCTAATTTCTTCCGCTATAAACCACTCATGGTAAATACTCGGCTTTATTTATTAGGTAAATATTCAAGGACACTACCGATGCAGAATATTCGATGTCTCTTTTTTAAGAAAAGCACGTAGAACTAATTATTTTATAGATGAAGTGTAACGTAATCTGACGACCACTTACAACCTCCAGAAACACCGGTGGTGGTTGTTAGGCAAGCAAGTAAATTGATCAAAGGAGCTTGGATATCTGAAAAGTATTCTTTGTACTTAATAGGTATTTTGTAGCAACAGATTTAAGTTGTAATCTAGAACTTCACTGTTCTGCTAGATTTTAGCACTCTGATTTCTTTCTAACAATTTTCTTGTACCCTTCCAGGTATGCCACCGCCTGTTCCACGTCCAGGTGGACCATCAATGACCCAATCGCAGCCAGTGGTTCCACCTGGTATACCCAGTAGAGCACCATTACCTGGACCTAGTCCGCAGCCTCCCATTGCAAAGCCGCTCTTCCCCAGTGCTGGCCAAGTAAGCACACATTAATTGGCATTTTCAGTGCTGCAATGTTTTGTTGACCTGTGTAATATCAGTGCACTACAACTGTTTCCTGATATGTGAATAGCTTTAGTTTTTATCTGGTCTAGACTAGGTATATAAGTATTCAGGGCTCTCTGTAAAAATGTTACCTCGGAAATTTAAGTGCTTCCAGGTTTTAATGCATTTAATTTCTGACAGTCACCCTTGTAGCGTAGTGTACTGGCAGCTGATGAAGATTTTCATTGTCTGCTCTTTTTATGCTTCAGATGGGGACTCGTGTTTCGAGCACAACTACAACCTCCACTACAGCTTCATCAAATTCGGCAAATCTCTCAACTTCCTCTAAACCTCTGTTTCCTAGTGCAGCACAAGTACGCAGGCAGATACCATCTGTTCTGGTGTTAGACTAATTCACAGTGCTTCACTTGCCAGAATAATTCTTGAGCATGCTATAAACTAGCTTTAGAGGCTTTTGGAGTGTGTATGGGCTGTGCAATGCTAATTTGGTGTAGTGTGCTATACTACTTTGTAGAGTTAGCATTTTTATATAAAAAGCGATCACAGACACATCGGCAGCTTTACATCTGATGCAGAGTCTGCTAAAGGTTTGCCAGTTTAAATTGAACTATTTGTTCTAAATTTCACAATTTTTGTTCCTCTGCTTTTGAGACTATTTAATCTGAATTGACAGTACAATTGAAACTGTAAACCTGCATTTTTAGAATAGCATGTTATTTGGAAATTTAAACTGCTTTGCTTGTGCCTTGGTTTTGCTTTCTATTCTGGGATTTGCAATTAATCTAACATTTTTTGTGGCGTTATTCAACAGAGCCAGCAGTCTGTCTCCGGACCTGTGGGTACAGATTTTAAACCCCTCAACAGTACGCCTGCCACTACCGCAGAACCTCCAAAGCCCACGTTCCCAGCATACACACAGTCAACAGCAACTGCTACCAGCACATCGAGCAGTTCTACAGCTAAGCCAACCATCCCTGTAACTAGTAAGCCTGCCACTCTAACCACAACTAGTGCAACTAGTAAGTTGATCCATCCAGATGAGGATATATCACTGGTAAGTGTGTGGGTCATCCTTTAAACAATTTTAAAAAATCCTTCTGTCTTAACTGGATTTAACTTGAGTGCCAGACTAACAAAAGAAAAATTAAGTAATGGGCTTTAAGTTTTTTAGTTCATTTTAAAGAAAAATAATATACCTGTGCAATTTTCTTTTTTCCTGCTATTTAGGAGGAAAGGAGAGCTCAGTTTCCAAAGTACCAACGTAACATCCCTCGGCAAGGCCAGACACCTCTGGGGCCACCACCAGTTGGGCCGATGGGTAGCATGATGCCACCACAGCAAGGAATGCCACCTCAGCAACCAGCAATGAGACCTCCTATGCCACCTCCAGGTTAAAAAGCTTTCTGTTTCTTTTGTAGGTTCTAGTAATTGTGATTTAATTATTTGCTATGAATAAGCATTAAATTACTCAATGGTTCTGGGGCCTTTGTTAATTTTGCACTCATGCGTATGACCTCCATTAGCTGGCCACTCTTTGTGAACCTTCTGTGTATGATGAAGGGTTCACTGTGTGCCATGAGCATATGCACCTTGTATGTGAGGGTAATATAGTTACTAAAACAATATAGATTTAATTTCGTCTAGTGTGAAAACCTAATTAAGAGTACAGAGATCAATGAATGAGAGTGAGTCTTATGGCTATTTCCCCTGCAAAACAGATAGACCGCTTTGAATGCTATCACGGCAAATGTCCCCTCGGGGATTTCTGGGATGGCAGAACTGATGAATGAGGAAAACTTGAATCGGTTAGGATATTTTCACTTGAGTTCAGAAGAATTGGTTGGGGGGTAGTGGAGGAATCGCATAGAAACCTATAGAATTCTAATAGGCCTAGAAGGGGTGGATGCAGAAAGGATATTCAGGATGGCAAGGGAGTCCAGAACCAGGGTGGCAGTCCAAAGATACGGGGTAAACCATTTAGCGCTGAGATGAAAAATTTCTTCACTCGGAGTAGTGAGCCTGTGGAATTTGCTACCATAGAAAGCAATTGAGGCCAAAACCTTGCATAATTTGAAGGAGTTAACCCTTTAGGTTAAAGGGATCAATGGATAAGGCGGGGATGGTGGGAATAAGCTTTTGAGTTGGATGATGAGCCATGATCATACTGAATGGTGGGGCAGGCTTGAAGGACTGTATGGCCTACTGCTTCTGTTTTCTTTGTTTCTAATTCTTTGATAGAGCTATACGTTAAATTCCCTTATGCTGATTCCTCATAGCCCTAAACATTTTCCCCTTCAAGCAAGTGTTGACCAAAACCTTCTGAATGTTCATATTAAATCATTTTTTGCTAACATTTTCTCCCATTTGAGAGACGTTAGCAGAAATTTCAATGAAGGCTGGGTGATTGTAACTATTTGAGACTGTTAGACTGATGTTTGATCTAAAAGTTTTAGGAGTCAGTCAGGGAAGTGAAGTTGAGGTCATGATTAGATGAGCTTTAATGTGATTAAATGGGAGATCAGGCACTGGGGCCAAGTGGCCTAAAGTGAAACATAGAAATTAGGAACAAGAGTAGGTGTTCGGCTTTGAGTCTGCTGCTCCATTTGGTGTAATCATGGCTGATCCTCTGACTCACTGCCATGTTCCCACTTGGGACTTTAAAATCTAAAAATATGTCTTTATCTGCCTGTTCCTTAAGTATATTCAGTGATATGGCCTCCATAGCCTTCTATAGTAGAGAATTCCCCAACGGGAACAACCCTTTGGGTGAAGGCGTTTTTCCTCCTCTCGATCCTAAATGGCCAACCCAGTATCATGAGACTGTGTCCTCAGTGCTAGACTCCCCAACCAGGGGAAAAAAGTCCTCACTGCATCCAGTTTTTCCAGCCCTGTTAGAATTTTGTACGTTTCAATCAGATCTCTCATCCTTCTAAACCAATCTCTCCTCATAGGACAGTCCTGCCACCCCCGGTTTCAGCCTCGTGAACGTCCGCTGCACTCCCTCTATGGCAAGTATTACCTTTATTGGGTGGGGAGACCAAATCTGCGCACAAAACTTCAGGTGTGGTCTCGCCAAGGCCTTGTGTAACTGCAGTAAGACAAGACTAATTCTGAATGCAAAACCTCTAGCAATGAAGGCCAATATACCATTTACCTTCCTATTTGCTTGATTTACATGGCTGTCTACTTTTATTGGTGTACAAGGACACCCAGGTCCTTTTGTGCATCTGCATTTCCCAACATAGCACCATTTAAAATGATATTTTGCCTTACTGTTCTTCACGCTAAAATGTGTATATCATCATATTTAGCCATGTTCTACTGTGTCTGCTGTGTGTTTGCCCACTCAACTAGTCTAAGTCACCTTGAAGCCTCTGTGCTTCCTCAACACTCAATCCCACCTAGTCTTGTCATTAGCAAACTTGGAAATGTTACTTTGTCCACTCCTCTAGTTCATTTATGTATATATTGTGAATGGCTAGGACCCAAGCACTGACCCATATGATATTCTACTAGTTACTGCCTGGCAGCAGGAAAATGATCCATTTATTCCCACTCTTTGTCAGAATTCTCAATCCATGCCAATATATTACCCCATCTTGCGTGCTTTAATTTTATCCGCTAACGTGTTATGTGGAACCTTATCAAAAGCCACCTGAAAATCCAAATGCATCACATCCACTGGTTCTCCATTGTCTATTCTTCTAATTACATCCTCAAAAGACTCCAGTACTTGACTTGCCTTTTTTAAACCCATGCTGCTTTTGTCCAAATCTGTTAATGCTGTTCAAGTATTCTGTTTTATAATTTTCCCCACAAATGATTTTAGGGTAACTGGTCTGCAATTCTCCTTTCTTAAACTATTCCTCCCTTTTTACATACCGTTTGCCGCTCTACAATCTGTAGAAAAGTCTCCAAAAAAGGTCTATAGACTTGTAGAAGATGACCACCACCAGTGGAAACTTGGAACATTGGAAGTAGGAATGGGAATAGACCATTTGGTGTTTTGAACCTGCTCTGCCATTGAATAGGATCACAACTGTTCTGACACTCCTTTATGTCCATTTTCCTGCCGTTTTCCTTACTGATCAAGAATCTATCTCGGCCTTAAATACTCTCAAGGACTTTTAAACCCATTGCTGTCTGTGGCAGGGAGTTCTGAAGACTTTCCCACGTGGGGAATCATCCATTCAGTATTTGCTCTGTTGAGCCCCTTAAGAATTCTATGTTACAATGAGATCACCCTCATTCTTCGTGAGTATAGTCCAACCTATTTAACCTTCCTCATGTGACAATCCTTCCATACCGTCCTAGTGAGCCTTCTCTGAACTGCATCCAATGAAATGATGTCTTTGTCTTTTCTTAAATCAGGGGACCAAAACTGCTCTCAGTACTCCAAATGTGGTCTCACCAGCACCTTGTACAGCTGCAGTGAGGCTTTCTTACTCTTATACTCCAAACCCTTCGAAATAAAAGCCAACATTCCATTAGCCTTCCTGAGTACCTGCTGCACCGGTGTGCTAGCTTGTTTCAGGTACAGGTATCACTCCTTTAGTGTTGCAACTTTCTACAGTTTTTCTTCATTGAAATAATATTTTGTTCTTTTGTTCTTCTTTCCAGATTAACAACTTCATATTTTCCTACTCCATTTGCCAGCTGTTTGCCTACTTAACCTATCAATGTTTCTCTGTAAAGTTTGTATTCCCTCACAACCTGCCTTTTCACCATTTTCACATTGTCTGTGAACTTAGCTACAGTGCTTTCACTTCCTTCCTCTGAGTCATCAATATATTATGAACAGTTGTCCTCGCCTTGATCCTCATGGAACCCCACTCGTCACAGCTTACCAACTTGACAAAGAACCCCTTCCATTCGCGGTTTCCTGACCATTAGCCAATTCTCCAATGCCATGTACTCTTATGACTTAATCTTTTGTGAGGTACCTCATCAAATGCCTTTTGGAAGTCCAAATACAACATAAACACTAGTTCCCCTTTAACCAAGATAGTAGGATTTCTGAAGAAGGGTCCAGACCCGAAACGTCAGCTTTCCTGCTCCTCTGATGCTGCTTGGCCTGCTGTGTTCATCCAGCTCTACACCTTGTTATCTCTTCCCCGTTAACCACTCTGGTTGAGACTTCCTCACAACTCTTAAGAAATTAGTTGGACGCTCTTTCCCTTTCAAGTCAAGCTGACTCTGCTTGATTTATTTTCCAAATGTTCAGCCATTGTGTCCTTAGTAATTGATTCCAAAACTTGACAACAATGGAGGTTAGGCTAATTGGCCTATAGGTATCTGTTTTTGCCTTCTTGCCTTTTTGAATAGGGATGTCATATTAGAAGTTTTACAATCCTCTGATACTTTGACAGAACCTAATGATTTTTGGAAAGTTACAACCAATACATCCACTGTCTCTCTAGCTACCTCTCTTAGGATCCTAGAATGTAAGCCATATGTGCCAGGAACTTATCTGCCTTTAGCCCCATTAGTTTGTCTATTACTACTTGTTTGGTGATGGTGCTACCTTTCTCCACTGTATTCTTTAGTATTAATGGGATGTTTGAAATACCTTCCACCATAAAGACTGATACAAGAAGCCTGTTTAACTCTTGCCATTTCCTTGTTCCTCTTAACCATCTCAGATTTATTTTCTAAGGGGCCTGTGTTCACTTTGACCTCGCTGTTCCTATTTTTAAAAAGAAGCTCTTATTGTTTGTTTTTATATTTATGCTAGTTTGTGTTCATAGTTTATTTTTTCTGTCTTTATTGCCCTTTTAGTAATCATTTGCTGGGTCCTGAATTTACCTCCATCTTCGGGGCTGTCATTGACTTTTGCCTCCTTCATGTGTCTTTTCTTTTGACTTTGTACTTTGTTTCACTTCCTTGATTAACAATGGTTGGTTTATCCGTCTCTTGGAATCTTTTCTTCTTACTGGGGTGTATTTTTGCTGAGAGTCATGAATTACCCCCTTAAATGTGTTCCACTGCTTAGTAACTGTCGTTTCTGCTAATCTGTCAACTCAGTTCACTTTAGCTAACTCTATCCTCATTTCACTGTAATTCCTTTATTTAAGTGAAACACAGTTGTTTCCAAATCAAGTTTTTTTACGGTGTAACAGAATATTAAATTCTGTACTATCATGTTATGATCACTACTCCTGAGGTGATCTTTTACTCTGGGGTTATTCCATAACCCCGCCTCATTATCCATTACCAGACCCAAGAGAGCTTGCTCCCCTTGTTGGTTCCATGACCAATTCCTCTAGCTATATCTATGTCCTTGTAAACATTCAATGTTTTGGCCTCAGTGCTTTCTACAGCAGAGCGTTCCACAGGCTCACCACTCTGGGTGAAGAGATTTACTCCTTGTCTTGGTCCTAAGTGAACTATCCTGTATCCTGAGACTGTGACTCATGACTGTGACTGGTTCTAGATGCCCCAGTCATGAGGAGCATCCTTTTTGCGTTTACTTTGTCTAGTTCTGCTAGAATTTTATAGGTTTTCGAGATTTATTCTCCCACCCACCCCTACCATCTCATCACCACCTTTGCCACCGGCTGCACATGCATGCTTACTTTCGAAGACTTGGTCTATGAGGGCACCCAAATCTTGTTGCACCTCCCCTTTTCCCAATCTGTCCCTATTCAGATAATCTGCCTTCCTATTTTTGTTACCAAAGTGGGCAACCTCTCATTTTATCCAAATTGCAGTTCATTTGCTGTGCGTTTTCCGATTCACTCAACTTGTCCAAATCACGTGGAATCATCTTTTGCTGCATCCTCACTGCTTACCCTCCCACCTAGATATGTCGTCCATAAAATTGGGAATATGACATTTAGTTTCTTCATCAAAATCATTAACGTTTATTGTGAACAGCTGAAATCCAAGCATTGTCCCTGTGATACCCCACTGATCACTGGCTGCCACTCAGAAAATGACCTGTTTATTCCTACTGTTTCCTGTCTGCCAATGTCAATGCACTGCCCCAATCCTGTGCACTTTTAAGTTTACATGCTAATCTCTTATGGGGACTTTATCAAATTGCTTCTGAAAGTCAAGGAAAACCACATCCGTTGGTTCTTCTTCATCTGCTTTTTGGCATTCACATTTCTGGGATGACTTGGCTCAACCCCTTCTCTGATTTTCAGGTGCTCAGTTATTGAATCTTTTATGATGGACTCTTACATCATTTCTTATTGCCAATACCAATGCTTCTAATAGTCCTAGGGCCATTTCCTTTAGTGCCCTGGAAGGTAGATTTTAAAACCATAGTGATTTCAACCTTTAATACCATTAACTTATCTAGCATTATTTTCTTACTAATTATGGTTTCCTTCAATTCCTCTCTCTCAATAGATCCTTAATTCCTTTACATTTTGTGCCCTCTTTTCTGGAGACAAAAGTGAAGCATGTGTGGCATTTTTCTACTCTTTTTTTGTTCCCCATTATAATTTCTCTGCTTTCTCGCTGTAAGGTATGTATGTTTGCTTTTACTAATTATTTATTCTTCACATTTATAAAAGCTTGTACAGTCAGTTTTATGTTCCCATTAATTTTATAGTCCTCTTATGTTCCCTTCTTGATCAAACTTTTGTCCTCTTTTGCTGAATTCTAAAATGCTCCCAGTGCTTAAGCTTTCTGCTGCTATTCTAGCAATTTTGTGTGTCTTCTCTAACCTAATACGGTCCCTAATTTCTTTTGTAAGCTTTAAGCCACATTTTTCTATTTTAGTTTTTGCGTCAGACAGGAATAGATAACTGTTGTAATTTATGCATATGTTCTTTACTTCTTGACCATTGCCAACCCTTTTTCATAAAGTTCCCTAATCCATCCCTACCAATTTGCACTTCATACACTCATTGTTTCACTTTTATTTAGATCCAATTCTAGTTTTGGATTCAGCTACCCCTCTCTCCATATAATATCAACGGACTAAAATGAGCTAACCCTTTCTCGTTTGCACAGGACCCAATTTAGAAACGTTTGGCTGTTTCCTCAACGTTATTGGTCAAAAAAAACCTACACACTCAGCACAGGGAATCCTCCTTCACAATATCATTGCTAGTTTGGTCTCTGCAGTCGAGAGATTAAAGTAACCCGTGATTACAGTTATACTCTTTATTACGTGCTGCCTTCTCTTATATTCCCACTACTTTCTGGGGGTCAGTAGACAACCCCTGATAATGTTTTCTGCCTGTCTGTCTGAACTGTGAAATGCCTTGGGTTATCTATCATGAGAATATGAAACTGCAGTGCATGAACATTGCCAATTGGCCAAAAGATATAAAGTTCAAGGAAATTTTGCAAAAGTCAAATTTAGAAACTTGACAAGTGTTAATATTCTCTTTTGTTTCTCAGGTCAGTATGGTGGTCCGCCACAGGGCATGCCAGGTTACCTCCCAGGCGGCATGCCTCCATATGGACAGGGCCCTCCAATGGTGCCCCCTTACCAGGGTGGACCCCCTCGGCCACCAATGGGAATGTCAGGAATGAGGCCTCCTGTAATGTCACAAGGTGGTCGCTACTGAAGCTGGCGTTAATAGGTTTGGAGATTCAACCTTTTCTCAACTTGCTGTTAACTAGACAAGCTTCAGTGAATATAAGTGACTTTAACTTTTTTAAGAAAAACCTGGTTAACCTCTTCCTGCCTGCTAATGATGACCACAAAAACATGCAAAACCCTGGGACGTGCTGTTGTTTGATCTCGGTAGCGGGGAAAAGAAAGAATACTCTTGAAAGCAAAATCTTGACGAGTGCCCTCCCCCTCCTCCCTCCCCACCTTCCCCCTCCCCACCTCAGCCCCTGCCCTCCCTGAGTCTCCATGTAATTGCAATTCATGTTGTATAGCTTCTTTTCTCATGTTTCATCTAGGTTTTTAGAAGTGAAGTATAATAAATATGGTCCATTTATATAATAAAAAATTGAAGGCGCTGGAGTTACATGAACGTACAGTACCACCTTTAAAGGCAAGTTCTGTAAATTAAAATTTGCTTTTGTATTAAAAACAAAAGTGAGGCCTTCGCAGCACTTTAAGTGCTGTTGGACTTTACCGTCCCCAACATTGTTTGGTGAGGGCTTCTGGTGTAATTGCTTGTCGCAGCACCAAATATCTGTTCGGTTGAGTTTTGATTATGTAACTGTTCAACGTAACTCGTATCCAGGGTTCAAAAAGACCATTTTGAACCCAAATAGGTCGTACCTGATTTCTTAATTTCTGTACTGTTGTAAAGCTCATTGTAATAAAACTTGATGGAAACATTAATGTTGCTTTATTCATGACCAGCTGTGGATCACTGCTTCAAGGTTTGTACCACTGCATGATATTGCGATTTAATGCAAAAATAAAAGTAAGAGCATTGGAGGGGGAGTTTTATTGTTTATGCTTTTGGAATGAACCAATGTTTAAATAATCTGTTTATCTCTCTGCATGCTTTAATTTAGCCCAGTATGCATTAAATTGTTCATATTTGTGGCAAATTAGGTCAATAAGCAACTGAAAAACAATATATAAAAACCTTTCTGAAAAGATTGTGGAGTGAATGCATGGTTTATGGATGTAGAATTGACCACCCTAACGTTTTTTTCTAAAATTGGAATTTATTTCTTCCTTCCTGTAGCCCTGCCATGGGACAGGCTGAGGCTGAATCTTATTGTCCTCTCAGTCTGAGGCAAGTCAGATTTCATTTTATTCCTTTCCAGGGGCTTTCACAGCTTTTTACGGCTGTTGGATTTCTCTGTCCCCAAACTTGTAGCAAGTTTGGTGAAGGCCCTTTTTTTTAAAATCTGTTTTTAGTAACGTATTATGTTGTATTGTGGTTGTATTTGACTTTAAAGCAAAGTGCTATTTGCTGGATATGGGAGCCTAATGTTTGGAGAAATTATTTATTGTTCCCATATATCTAAATTTTAATTATTTCTCAATTTTTCCCATTGTAAACAGTTTTCTAGTGTACACAGACTGAGAAGCTGATGGGGTCAATGGCTTATCAAGAGATATTACACTTTCAAATTTGTCTAGCTTTTTATCTTTCATTTCCTTGTATCTGGCAAGTGGGACATTGCTTGGGGTGCACTGATCTTTGAACTGTGAGGTCAGAGTGATGTTATATGTCATAACTTAAACTCTATCTCTAAATATTTATACAAAGTATAACAACAGAAAGTTTGTTACTTAAATTGAGTTAGTTTCAAATATCCAACCCAGCCAATGAGGTAGAACTGAGATTGAAACTCTTCCTGTCATTTGCTGCAATTTTGTTGCCAAAAGTGTTTCAAGAATACCCTTTAGATGGCCCTCGGGTTCTGTTCTGATCAGATGTTTCTTGTGCTCAATAGATTATGGGCAATTTCAATTATTGCTGCTCCTCTTAGTTGAATTACACATTGCATTTCACAGCTAATTATTTTTAAAACATTGTGATGCTCATGTACGTGGCATCATGCACATGTTTAGATTATCACTTGTGTGATCCTGAGCATTTAACACTTTGACTTTCCCATCTAGAAGAAATGCTGAACCAGGAAACAATTAAAATTGCAACTAGGCTGGTTAAAACTCTATCCTGAAAGAGAGCCATCACATGCAGAGGTACAAGAATACCTCTTCTTCCACCCCACCTCAAAAGTTACTAATCTAGAGTTGGAGATAGTAGGAACTGCAGATGCTGGAGAATCCGAGACAACAAGGTGCAGGACTGGATGAACACAGCAGGCCAAGCAGCATCATAGGAGCAGAGAGGCTGACGTTTCGGGCCTCGACCCTTCATCAGAAAAGGGGGAGGGGAAGGGGGTTCTGAAATAAATAGGGAGAGAGTGGGAGGCGGATAGAAGATGGATACCTACACCGGCCCTAAACCCCACCTCTTCCTCTGTTACATCGATGACTGTATCGGCGCCGCCTCGTGCTCCCACGAGGAGCTCGAACAGTTCATCCACTTCACTAACACCTTCCACCCCAACCTTAAGTTTACCTGGACCATCTCTAACACCTCTCTCCCCTTCCTGGACC